TCTGGAAAAGTGACAGGAAATCAGCAAGCTTGGAATAGTAATGGACATGGAGCTTTTCACCTCTACTTCACCTATTCTAATCTAATCAAGGTCAGCAGTGACAGAGCTATGCCTCATCCAGTCTTTACAAGAAACAAATTTGTGGTCTCTTTTGGTCCTCAATGAGTAAACACAGCAGAATGACCCAGCACTGAATGCACATGAAAAATAAGAACAAAAAAATTTCAGTTCTAAGAAATGTCCCCTGAGGAGGTTAAAATCTACTGGCAAAGGAAAATGAAGAAGGCTGCATCTTCCTGTCAAGCACATTTCAAAGGAGCACTACTTACAGAATAATTATAAGAGTTAAAAAGGGGAAGAATTGACTATAATAGGAACTCTGTCATACTGAAGATACTGTAGTGGGAACACTTTGAGGAGGAGGAGGAGTGAATGAACATAAAACTCACATGCAGAATACACATCACACACGCTGTACTTGGCTATTTAAAGACCACAGAAGTCGAAGTTAGTAAAGTCATGTTAGATTAATAAATTCCTCGTGCACAGGAAGCTGCAGATCTGGCTACCATGTAAGAAGATATCTGTACAGAATTATGTTTTGAAAATCATGTAAAGTTTAATTTTAAACGTGCATTTTAAGAGCAATTTACTATGACATATTGCTACAGAAAAAGCAGCAAGGACCATTTGAATCCTGGCTAACGCAACTCAGAAGCCAAGCCCTTGTGGTTTCAAGATCTAAAGGAAGAAAATCTTCCAGTCACCAAAGACCGTATTCTAATCACCTGGTCTCTAATCCTGTTTGGTGATTAAAAAGAAACAGACAATATCACAGCTAAGTATTCTTGAATCTAGCAAAAAAACCCCACAAAAACACCCAAACAAAACACCAAGTGAGATTACTATTAATTTCTAAACAAACTTCTTGCTGTCATGTATGACATTACCTTGCATATCTACAGGGGCAAATAATTCAGAGCCATACATAGTAATTACTTCAAAAATCTGTATAATTGAGTTACCTGAAGAAAAAAAAAAAATCAAAACTTTCTACAAACTTTACAATTGCAGGGCTGACATTCATCGCAGTCTAGAAAATAGTTCTATTAAAGTTAAAACATTCCTGTTTCATATAAAATCAATATGATCTTGAAAGTAACAGCAGATTCACTTACTGGATTAAAAAAATACTATGTGACCTTTTTTAAACTCAGAGATGTGTTGCAGTTATGTTTCTTTTACGTTGTGTGCTACTTTAACAAATGATTCCAAGGTAATGAATATTAATAAAGCTAACATTTTCCTACATTAATTACAACAAGTTAAGGTAGACTCCCCGTGGCTTTTTTTTTTTTAAACGTAATTTACCACATGTTGACATTTTTAACTCATAGGTTGCAGAAGTTTTCTCAACTACTGTAAATTGAGCAGCTGAAAGAAAACACCCCAAACAATGAAGTGAATAATTAAATGAATATTAGGATGAGGTATCAAACTTAGAGAAACTTTTAAGACAACTGACAACTGTGTCTCTTTGGATTTCAAATGAAAAATACTTATATCATTATTCTAAAAGAACCTCAGAGTTCGTAGGCCGCTGTGCCCTGTGGAAAATCATGAACCCAGGCACAGAGTTTAAAATGGGTACAGAGCCTGTAAGCTTCTCTTTAGTAAAGGATCACTTTTAACATTTGTCCTCCGAAATCCACTGCATATTAGAACCTGGAGCAGAAGGGCATAGAAAGAAAACCCTAACAGACCACACTGAAACTTCCCGTCTTCTGTATATACACACATGTATCTTGCCCTCCCTGCTGTGCAAGCCTGATTCACTTTTTTGGTGGCTAAGCTTAAGTTTCTTAACCAGCATTCAGATGTCACGCACCTGCAACTTCTGCCTAGAAATACTCTGAAACACTTGCTCCATTCTACTACCGGTGTTCACATATAACTGGTTTTATTCCTCTTCATAGCCTGAGTGAAGTACCAAGTACTGAAGATACTTGAACATACACGGAAAGCTAAAATAAACGAGAATATAAGGGCCATGGTTGGGTGAACAGCATTTACTGTGCTGACCACAGATAGTGAAAGAGTTCTCAAATTACACTTCATGAACTAGTAAGTATAGCTATCAGCAGAAGCTGCGTTACCCTTCATTGTTCTTTCAGGGACCTTAGCGTGTCCTTGATCCACACAATACCATATGCTCCATGTGTGGATCAAGGGCATAACATCACCTTTGCAAGTCAAACCTGGATATTTTACTGTCACCACTTCAAACAACTTCATTTTCAGTGTCCTGAAGTTTGGAATATGTGCTACTAAGGACACTTAACACACAAACCAGGAAAAATGGCTCAACAATGCAAATATGTATCAGAAATACTAAAGCTCCATCACATTTTATGTTTCGTTAGCTTTTTAGTTGCCATCTATCATATGAATTAGATTACACATCAACTCGCACTGCCAGTAAACCAAATAACACTTCTGATAATTTATTATGTGTGTAGTATTCATATATTATTGATCCTCCACAGTAAGTGAATCCTGGTCTTTCCCAGCAGTATGTCAATGATGATCAATTTCTTCTCTTAGTTACAGAAGTTGTATCATTACAGAGCTTTTTGCTACTAAATATACTGAGTAACTTAACATCTGAGCTTGATGTCTCTAGCAGCATTTCATTTTTAAACTCTAACAAAGGGACAAAGAGGAGTTCTAAAGCAAACTCCTTCTGCAACTTAAAAATCACTGTATTTAGTAATACAAGAAAAGAATTAATTAAAATGCAAGTACAGACTGTGTGGTGTAGTCTTATTTAACTGCCCAGACTAACAGCAATACAGCTACTATGAAGTACAAAATGCAGCGTTTTGTCATCTGAAGTACTTCAAACAATCCACCCTCTCTCTCTTCACACATATCTTTGTAGGTAGGCGAAAACACTTCCTATCAAAATTTAATGCACTCAGCTAAATAAATAAAAAACCCACTAAACAGTAATGATCAAATACTCAGAAACCATTTGGTTTGTGAAATCTGTAATAATAATAAGACGCAAGAACCGAAAGGCAAAACCATGCAGCAGAACTGGGTAGGTCAAGCAGAGCCCCTTGTCCCACAGCTGGAGACACCCATGCAGGTTCCTGGGCAGCCAGAGAGGAATGCTGCATGGGCAGGCACTGGCCTATGCAAATTGGGTTACTCGGTTCTACCCCAGACCTCAGTAGTAAACACACAAAAGGTTAACAAACTGGGGAGGAAAAAAAAAAAAAAAGTAATTTCTATGTTTAAACTCCTTTCTGTTTCAATATCGGCCAAGGAATTTCCAGTAACAAAGGGTATTGTTGTAGGAACACCGAGCTTGCACAACTGGCTGCTCTCTACGTCTCCTCTTTTCTCTTATCCATCACAAACGTACCCGAAGTTTTCCACTAGAAGCGAAGTAAAGAAGTTAACTTACTAAAAATGAAGTCGGGGTGGGGGTGGTGGGGGGTGTGCATGTTTCCCCAACAGTTGGATCGGCTTTATATTATTTAAAGATCATACTGAAATACTTGGGAAAAAAAGACCCCAAACCCAGCAGAAAGCACCCGGCGACGGCAAGTTCAGCCCGATGCTTTTGTCTTCCATTTTACCCAGGGATGAGGAGAACAGCGTTTGTACCGAGCGCGCTCCCCAACGATGTAAACACGCCGCGGGGCTGGGGCTGTGCCACGGGGAGCGGGCAGGACCGGCGGGCTCCGCGGGGCTGCACGATCCGGGCCGGCTTAGGAGTTTCTGACCTACATTCCCCGCAGCGGGAAGAAAACCCTCCCGCCGCAGACGGAGCGGAGCGCGGAGCGGAGCGCGGCGGGCGGGCGGGCGGGCGGCCGGCCTCCCCCGCCGGCAAGGGTGTGTTCAGGGGTGGGGAAAGCGAGCCGGCCGGGGCGAGGATGGAGGCTGGAGGCTGGCGGAGGCGCTGACACCTGCCCGCCGCC